ATATTAAAAAAAAATAAAAGTAAATTATTTAAAAAAAGTATAAAATAAATAATATAAAAAAATAAAGAAAAAAATTAAAAATTTTAAAAAATAACTATTAATAATAATAACGTTTATTATATCAATTTATCTTATAAATAAGATATATACCAATATTATTTAATATATCTGGTCTAAATTAAAAAAATTTTTAATCTAAATAAATATATAATATTATAAAAAAATTTATTATAACATTATATGTAATTATTTTTAACTTTATTATTCTTTTATTAATAATAATATTTATTTTTAAATATTTACCTTTTTTTTTTTGTAATAATTTTATTATTTACTTATACCATTAATTTTTTTTATAAATAATAATATTAACGTTTAAATATTTTCTTTATTTTTTTTATAACATTTTTGTAACAGATTTATATTATATATAAAATATGCAAAAAAAAAAATAATTTTTATTTAAAATTATAATAGTTTTAAGGTTTATTAAATAAACGGTTTTATTTTATATATATTGAAAAGAATAGTAATTAATTAAATATTAATAAAATTAGTTAATTAAACCTTACCAAATATATATATTTTTAAAATAATATATATTATATAAAAAAGGATAAATATTTTCGATTTAATAATGTTAATAATATACCTTTTTTATTTAACGATAAAAAAGTATTACTTGCACCGAACATTTATAATTGCCATAAAAAAATAATTAATATTAATAATAATGTAATGAAAAGAGTAAAAGGTTATAATAAAAATAATGTTAAAAATAATTAAATTTATTTTAAATAAGAGGATAAAAATAGGTTTTTATTATTAATAAATAATTAATTATAATTATTAATTTTATTTATATATATAATAATAATTTTTAATTTAAATTTAATATATTATAACTTTTTTAATAATAATATTAATTATATTATACATTTAGTATTAAACCTGTTTAATATTGCTAGTATTATTATATATAAAGAAATTATTTATAACAAAAATGCCTTAGGAATTGGATTGTTTTTTAATAAAAAGGAGGAAGATAATAATGGTATAAATTTAAAAATTATATTTAAATTTTTAATAATAATTTAAAACCTTTTTATATTATTATTTAATTTATATATATTTTCTACTTTTATTATTAATTATTTATACATAAATATAATTATAAGTTTTTATACTAATTAATATTTAAATAAATATTATTGTAAAAATAGTTTATATAATATTTCTTAATTAGTAAAAATATATTAAAATTAAAAAATTAAAATTTTATAATTTAAAAAAGCATTTGCTTTTTTTGCAAAATTTATTGGCTTTAACCGTAAAGGATAGTTATTTTTTTGCGAGATTTTTTAATTTTTTTAAGATAATTTTGGTAACCTAATTTACAATATATTAAACCTTCTAAATTAATTAATAATGTTAAAATTGCGGCTGTATAAACATTTATTTTTGTTAAATATACGCAAGGTTAATATTCCGTTAAATATAAAAAAAATATTTATTAAAATTAATTAACGTAAAATTAAAACGTAAAAAAAGTTTTAATAAATAAATATTAAAGTAAAAGGTAAATTTTTAATTATTATAAAATTTATATTTTTTAATTTTTTTATATTTATTAAAACTTTTCTATTATTTAATATTAATAAAAATATATATAATAATTTTATTATATTTATTAATTATTCTACAGAATTTTATTATATATATTGTTAATTTAAATTAGTCCAAATATTTAGTAGTTAATATTTTTATTTGAAAAATATTTATTTTAATAACAATATAGTTATCTTTTTTAATAATTGGATTTATTACTATTATATTATTTTTATTTGTTTTTATTATAAAGTTATAAATAATATAGATAATATTTTAAACTTTTATATTAATTATATTTATGGTTTTGGATAAGATATACGTATTAGATTTTACATAGGATATAATAAAGATATATTTGCCTTATAGATTTAGGAGTGTTTACTATTTAATAATAATAATAAATAAATTAATAAAGTTTATATATATATGGAATTTTAATAAAAAAAAAATAAATTTATATTTGTATTAAATGTGATATATATTTTTAAAACAAATATTTATTACTTAATAAATATTTATTATAACTATGAATTTAATAAAATTTAAAAAAATCTATTACCTTTTTAACTTAAAAAAGATATTTAATAGTTAAAATATGATAAGGCTAAATTTCTAATTTAAAATTAAGAATATTAATATTATTATATTTATTATATAATTATTTTAAACAAAATAATTAATAATAAATTTATTATAACAAATATAAGTATAATTATATTTTTTTATTATATACATTTTATTTGCGATAAGTTTAAAATTAATATATATAATAAAAAAATATTTAAGTTTAAATAAAATTAGAAATTTTTATCTACAAAACTTATAAAATTTTTACTATATTTTAATTTTATTAATAAATTTAATATATTTTTTAATTTATATAAATTATTAATAGGAAATTATATTATACCAGTTAATTTTTCTGCAATAAATCAATTCCAACCTGGCAACATTTTTTTTTTAATTTTTAATCCTTATAAATCTAATTTTAATAAAGTAATTAAAGCTTTTAATACCCTTAAAACATTTAATAAAAGTATAAAAATAACAATTAATAATAAAAAAACTTTAATTTATACTTTCATTTTTTATTTTATTAACAATATACCATAACAAACCAAAAATAATAAATTTAAAAATTTTTATACCAAAAAGTTTTACCGTTACTATTATATTACATTTATAAAAAAAATATTTTAATCATATTTAAATTTTAATATTATTAACTATAGCCAATATTATTATTAAATTATATAAATGTAATATATAATAAATATATATACCAATAATATTAGAAAAAAAATATATAATACATAATAAAATATATTAAATTTTTTACCATTATTATAATTTATAACTCCAACTTTAAATTTAATCCTTTCGCAACTATATAATCTTATACATTTAAAATATAATAAATTATCTTACCTAATATATACTTTTTTATGCAATAATATTTTAATATTTTCGGCAATAACAGCTTATACTTTCGCATTATAAAATTAACCATTCCCCCTTAATACGCATTAATTACAATTACCAAAATATTACCTGCAAAACTATAACATATTTGCTTATATTATATAATTTATTATTATTTCTATATTTTTTTATAATTGGTTTAAACTTACACATATTAAGCCTATATTTATAAAAAAAACAAATGTATATAATAATAATAACCCGATTTACTTTATTATAAAGATATATACAACCATTATAAAAAATAATATTATCCTTATAAAGTTTAAAACTTCAATAATTAACCATAATAATATAAAGGTTTTAATTAAAAAAATAAAAGTCTTTTTTAATTAATTAAATATCTATACTGCTAACTTATTAAGATTTTATACTAACTTGATTATATTAATCCAAAATATTATACTAAATAAAATATTTATTAAATATACCAATAAAGATATAATTAAATAATTTATTTAATACTTAAACAATATATTACAACTAAATATTTATATTATTATATACTATATAGATTTTATAAAAAAATATAACTTAATCATTAATATTAATATATTAATTAAAAAAGATTTATATTAATATATTAATATATTTATTTAATTTAATAAATTTAATATATATATAATTTTACCTAAATATTTTAAGATTAATATATATTAAATAAATTATTTTAATATTAAATATATAATATTAATAAAATTTAATATTTAACTTACTATTTAGTTTATTATTTAAAACGCGTTTAATAAATAGAATTTAGGTCTTATAGCCAAATTGCAAAAATTACACCAGAAATGCTTAAATTTATTAAAATACATTTTATTTCATTTTAATCGAAACAATTTAATTAATATTGCGAATAAAGAAAATATAAAGTTAAAAATATTTACATTTATTAATAATACACATACCAACTTAATTATTATTAATTTTATTTTATTAAAAAATATTTAACATATTAAGTATCTTATTTTTGGTAAAAATTTTTTACCTATTAAATATAATAATTTATTTTTTACATTTAAATTTAGCTTTTAATTAATATATTATTAAAATTATAGCTATAATAATAATTACCTCCGTATATAAAACTATAACGCCTAAATATAATAAGTATATAAATTTACTTTTAACTAATAATAAATAATATTTATACGTTTATAAATAAAGTTAATTTTTTTATTAAATATAATAATATTAAAAAACGGTTTATTTTTAATAAAAATAATTATATTTAATATTATAACCTAAATAATTTTACCTGTATTAATTATATTTTCTTATTTAATATTTATATTAAATAATATATTTTTATAATTATTATATTTTTACGTTATATTAATATCCGTAATAAACTTATTAATTTAAATATTTTATAAAAATTAACCAATAAACTATTTATTATTAAAATTATAGCTATTAAATTAGCTAAATTATACTTAATCCCAATTAATAGTTTAAATATAATTTATATAAAATAAAAAGTTTATTGGTTATAATATTAATAAAAATAAATTAAAAATTTATAATATTTCGGTAATAATTTATATAATTAAAATAATTTTTTTAATAAATTTAATTTTTATTATAATAATAGTTTTTAATAAAGAATAATTTTTAAAAAAAAAATAATTTTTAAAAAAAAAACAATTTTTAAAAGAAAAACGGTGGTTGTTTGAGTAATAATTGTTTAAGAAATAACGTTATTTTTTTAATAAATAATGCATATAAGAGGTACGGTACTCTGTTAAGGAACCGTTTCTCAAAACTACCCTTTGCCGCTATGGTACCTACCTAGGTACCTAGGTATCTTACTTAAGGTAGATTCCTCACGGGGCGCTGCGAAAATTGTTTTTCTTTCTCCGAACACCACCTCTGCCAGCACAGGCTTTGGAAGCCAACCCTTGTGCTATCCGCCTATTATCATCAAACAGGTTGAATATCGACCTGGGCGAGAACTGAATTATCAAACATCTTTAAGCACGAGGCGCCTAGCACGCCGTTCAACGCGCCAAGATGCTTGCAGTCCCAGGACCCCCGGATTCCCTTCGCCAGCTATGCCCTCATTGCGAACACTCGTTCAGTCTACGATACCTGCATGAGCACCTAGAAACAAGTCACTTGGGCGTTAAATGCTATTTCCCAGGCTCCAACCTAGTTCTCCTTGTAGAAGATGATTTCACAATGACCCAAGAGCTGTCCCACGCTAACCTACGCAACGGCGGTGGGCATAGGGATGGTGAATATTGGTGTCACTGGCCAAACTGCAACTCATCCAATACTCCCCATTCCTACAAGAACGATTCCAACTTAAAGCGCCATCTTCGCATGAAGCAGAAAAGGATATATCGATACAATCTCAACGTTGTTCAGCCTGCTGGTCCTGCTGCAGTCCCCGGCCCAGTTGCAACCGCAGTCCCCGTCCCGGTCCCTGTTCCGGTCCCTGCCCCTGCGGCCATGCCCGTCCCCAACTCCGAGCCTGAGCCTGAGCCCGAGCCCGCCCCGCCGGCTTATCCTCTACATGACCAAGCCGTGATCGACGAAGCGGTGCTTCAGGTACGCCTAGCAATGGCACGACGAGAGGCCAAGTACGAGTGTTTTCGATCTATGATCATGCCACAGGAGCCACAGGACGCCACCCAAACAATGACTCCAGATCAACGCACGATGTTTCGCATAGAGATCAAGGAGGTCAACGACGCTGTCGACGAAGCTCTCCTTAGGATCTTCAGCATTGTTGGCCACGGCCCTAACGGCAACCTCCAGGAGCTTTGGGACACCTATCCGAGTATACTTTATGACGTACAGCTCAAGATGAAGTTCTGGCTTAACCACTTCACCGTGTTCGATGATCAAGTGCAGGAGTGGAACAGCTACCTTCGCCAGCACACTAAGTTCCAGTCGATTGTTGACAAGATCCTTGACGAGGTCAAGAAAATACCTTGCCAATCGGTGCACCAGCCCGTCAAGATTGAGGAGCCTGAGTTGAAGATTGAAGAAAATGAGTGATTCTTCTGCTGTCTCGGTGTCTCAACTACTATTTCCTCCCCTTTGGTTTGCCAATATTTGCAGGACGGTTGACGTAAGTACCATGTGGTTTTCAGGGAAGCCTTAGAATTACATACTAACTATAATATAGAATAGGGAAAAGTGCGGTTGTCTAATAGTGCGGCTTGCGAATTATCCGGATGAACCTTTTGCAGGACGGGATGTCCATCATTGCAGTCGACAGCATGTCTTTGGCAAGCTATATGTACATTGCATTTGATTTTGCGTTTGATTTTCAACAAAGCCTGAGAAGCTTCTTCATGTCATCCATTTCTGGAGACCTCATGTATCATAGTGCAATCGTGGAAAACCTGGCTCGTGAGAAAAGAAAAAAAGGTCTTGATATCCAACCTGTGAATTACATCCCCCGTGATGTTTCAATATCGGTGATTTCATAGGCAGGCTAGCTAGCTTACTATAGATTAAGTCTGATGGACAGTATGAATTTGCATGATGTCGATAACCTGCTAGGTCACATAGCTTCTTAATTCATGATAACCGCGAAGTTTCATTCCTTAAATGACTGTGTTGACATCTATGGCTTGTAGTGTACTATTGTAAACCAATACAGAACCCGTGTTAAGGCATATATCTGTCAAATTAGTAGATAGAAAGAGATTGCTAAAGATGTTTCTATCTCGACATATGTCGGAGCTCTGCTGCCTAGGTACTTAGTAGTCATCGTTATCACGCCCATATCCAGCTCCCTCACGCTTCTCGCGACCCTTTTCTCCTAGACGGTCGCTACCGAAGACTGAACCAGCCTCTGTGCTCGGATTAGTATATGATGATAGAATCATGACGATGAAATATCAACGGTTGGAATGGGGTAGATAATTCCAAGAAACAGAAATAGGTGTCAGACTTACTCTCTAGCAGCTTGCTAGCGGTGCTATCTCCCTTGCGGCCCGAGGTATCATCGTCATCTCCATAGCTCCCTGAATTGTTGTTGCGGGAACCGTAAGAAGAGTTGCCAGAGGAGTTCTGGTTGTCACGGTCGCTCGAACCATAGCTGTTAGAACCAGTGTTACGAGATCCGTAAGTGTCATTATCGTCGTCGTTATTGCGACGGTTAGAAGAGCCAAAGCTATCATTGTCTCGGGACGATCCGTAGGAGCTGGTGTTGTTACCCGACCCATATGAGTTATCATTTGAGCCGTAACTGCTGGTGTTATTCTTGCTAGACCCATACGAGTTGTCGTTGTCATTTGAGCCATAGCTATCGTTGTTCCGGTTAGAGCCATACGAGTTATCGTCATTGTCTCGACGAGTGTTACTCGAACCATAGCTGTCATTATTGTTACTAGGGCGGGAAGAACCAATCTTGTCATCGTCGTCCCGGCGAGTGTTGCTCGAGCCGTATGTGTTGTCACTGGAACCGAAGGAATCTTTGTCCCCTGAACCGTATGAGTTTGAGGAGCCGTTGCTATTATCGTTACCACGGCTGGAACCATACGAGTTGTCATTGTCCTGACGGTTTGAGGACCCGTAGGAATTGTCCGATCGGTCATTACTACCGTAGGTGGTATTGTCATTACGACTAGACCCGTACCCACCCTCGTTGCGAGAGGACTACAATTAAAACGTTAGACACAATAGGGTAAACTTAGAATCTATGTATAATACATACGTAGTCGTCATTGCCGCCGTAGCTCGACTAAATAGTATGTTAGTTGCCGTAACTAGCAAGAATCCCGGAATATGCTTACACTGTTGTTGCTGTCGTTGTAAGACATATTGATGGCTAGTATACCAATTATTGAGAAGGAATTTCTAGATATGATGCTTGGGATGGATAGGAATCAGATACGAACAAAGGCAAAAGAGAGGGGGTGTTATATACGATAAGCTCTTAAAGAACAAGCCCCCGGCTAAACGAGGGGGAAGCTCTCGGAGGGAGCCCGCCTCGGAGCTACGAGGCGCAACGTCACTAGTAATCTATCAATAGATCAAAGAGCTATGTCTAAGCTCGGCGAAGGCGAGTGCGCCATGGTGGATATCTTCAGCTGCCCCGGTGAATTCGGGGTCTTCGGACCTGGATATTGCTTGTCAATATTGGTGCTTTCTAGTCTGAGGCAGCCCATCTCAGCTCCTTGCATCATCCTCGAGCAGGTTTTGGGAGAGATTGACCAATAATATTAGCAAATATGCTCGTACAAGATGTAGTCTAGCTTGCTAGGTCGATTCGTCATCCCTCGTGGCATGGTAATAGGTATCACCTTGCAACAAGATGTCTTGCATCCTCTAACCTTGCTTCTAGATCGCGTTGATCTTCCAATATTTCCCGTTTAGGCAAGGTAGCTGAGTAGGTCACAGAGCTTGCAAATTTGGCGCGCGCTGGTCAAGTCTGCTGGCTGGACAGTGCCGGAACTAGCCATTACATACTTGACCGCTACTGAAAAACAAAATGCGGTAGGCAATGCAGAATTTACTGCTGATGCTCTCCTATAGGTACGTGTCTTACAAACGTTGATTAAACGTCATATATGATGTAAGGATCGTGATATATCTATGTAAGTTGTACCGGTAGTGGGGATGATCTGATAGATTCGCAAGCTAAGCCACGTTGTGCCAAGGAAATACAGGATTTGCATCCACATAGCCAGAACCGCGCGACTTTTATGATGAAATCCAATGAGATTAGACCTGTCAAGAATTACATCTCGGCATAGTCGATCGGTAGACAGCTGGTGCATATAGATGAAGTTAGATACCAGGGGCAGAGGCACACATAAGTTAACAGCCTCCGTATCTAGTAAACCATCCACTCACGAAGCATAGGAGAGCGCACATGTCAGGATTAGCAGCATACTAGCCGAGCACTCATCCATCCCGATAAATGATCACTGATAGGGTGACATGTGTTCATATTTAAGTAGACAGATACCGAGGTATTAAGGTAAGTCGTTCTCTAGTCTCTATTTCTTGGAGTTTGTTGATATTTGAATACTTATTCGGTGGAAGATAGCTCTGCCGTATACTATAATTATACCCTAAGCTGCTACTCTTCCTCGGACTTCAAGCTCCGATTCAGTCTAAATGTAAAGATTATAAATATAAACCTTATAATGAGTATTTCCAGGTAACACTGCCGGCGCCCCCTGGCGTCTTCTAAAGACCATCGTCTCTAGTTATGCATCCATCATGCGCCTATATGACCTAATCTATAGGGGTATCAATGCGTATGCACTCTTTGTATTCCGAGTGATGCCTCCAACTATGACAGGCATCTCGTAATAGCTATAGCAATGCAAATGAAGCAGAGAGCAGTAAGCTATACTAGTGAACCGCGCATGTAAACAACATGCATGCAGTGCCGTAGAGCTTTGATGGGAGTTGTTCACTCTCATGACAGCGTAGCGTCAGCTCCACTAGCATGCACGACACCATCGCCGTTCGTAGCAGGTACGGCGATGGGTCTGTTTTGAGCCTTCTGAGTCAATGCTACTATCTCCTTTAACATGAGCTCTCGGGTGCTACGAGTTAGCTCGTCGACATCATCGGGTTTTAATCCAGTTGTAGGAATTGGGTCGAGAACTAGTAGACATTAGTAAATAATTCTAACAAGTGATCGAAAGTGGGATTTTACCTTTTACGGGAATCTTTCCAGATCTAAATATACGACCCTTGATGTAGAGCACGTGCGAGTAGTTGGCCACTACTATGGGGATGATAGGTACACCAGCCTGGACAGCAAGGTGAAAAGCGCCTTTCTTGAAGGGTAAAAGGCCGGGGTCCTTTGCGTAACTACGGGTGCCCTCGGGGAATATGTATACGCTCTGTTTTCGAGTCTGGATTTCCCTAGCAGCACCAGCCATGGCCTGCCTTGCGTCCTTCGAGTTCTTCCTATCAATAAAGACTGTGCCGCTCAATGCCATGAACCATCCTAGGAACGGCACATATTTCAATGCTTTCTTGGCAGTTACACTGCAGTATTTTGGGAATATGCACCCAAGCATAAGGACATCTAGTTCACTCTGGTGGTTCCCAATGAACACGGCTGGTCGAACGGTATCGAGATGTCGCTTCGGATCGTCAACTTCGAACGTGATGCCTATCGTAATTGCCATAACATATTTGAAAGCACGTGCTGTTGTCCACTGCGCAATCTGTTCGCGACCGACTATTCGGAGGAATATTGAAGCAAGTACTCCATAGGTGGCGCATACTACTATCGAAATGTAGGCGGATAACGTGCGGGCGGCAAAGCCTGCTACGGGAACGACGGCTGAAAGCATGAATAGCGAGATAACGAGGGCGAAGTAGCCCCCGAGAAAGTAGCTTAGGATCGAGGAGAAGGACATGCTGTACGGGGGACAACGGCGAACCCGTCGCGAGGAGAGATCGAAAGTAGTCGTAGCAGGCTGGTAAAGAAGGGTCAAAAGTCAAGTGATAGATTTATACTAGACACTTTGTTGTGACAGAAGTCGAGGTATGGTTGTATTTTCGGTCACGGTTACTTTCATAGTCACAAGTCCATTCTTGTCCCATCGTAGTACCTAGGTAGGTAGGTAGAAGGGGATACGAGGAAGATTGCGGCAGAATATTTCTAAGTAGTGGGTGTATTTTCACCGACAACTTGGCCAACTGCATGTGGGCAGAGTTGGATTTGTTGAGGGGCGGCAGCTTTTTTAAGCTTTGTACCTTTGTAGTTCCCAGTCATCTGGGTGGGCATTTTGGGGTGTCGGCTAGGGAAAATCCATACAGTGCATGTGATTCTACCCCACAAAACCTTATCGAGCTGCGAGCCATGAGCCATGAGCCATGCATCAAACGAGATGTATGCATTAGGTACCTCTCTCCAAGTAATCGGAGCATTAGCTGCTTACCTACACACATACTACCGTACCATGCACATTATAAGTATGCTTCACACATACCCAATTCATCGAGATAGTAGATTAACCACTTTGGAAGTATTTTTCAATCCCGAAAGCCCATGCGATTAAACATGCGGGTTTAGGATAGCAGCAATGGTTTAGCGATAGATATGACCACAGAATCTGTCAAAATATAGACAAGAGGATTACCTATAGTTAGCGACCTTTATTTGTTATAAACTAAAGTTAAGAGTTAGATAACTATAGATAACTACAGCAAAGTAGTAGACTTTTCTTATAGTGCTAGTATAGTTCTGGGAGATGGTGTTAAACATGAACTTGCTCTGGAATGTGAAAAATTATTGTTTAATGGAATAGGTCGATAATAAGTTAAACCTTGCCTTGAGAGCTTCCAAGCAAGAAAATGGTAGTCCAAGCTTGCATAGACTACTAGTATTGACGAACTTTCCCGTAGTTGTAATTTCTTCGATAGTAAAGGTGCTGATGTAGGTATTTATGAACTACTGGGTAAGGATGAGAAGAAATAGGTTAGGTAAGTATTCGGTTAATCTATCAACTCTTTGACTTAAAAGTAAACAATACTTACAGAAACCTTGCAAGATTGATAGCTACAGCATCGCCACCAAAGGAATCAGTTCATTATGACTGCCGAAGTATTTAGACAGGCATACACGAGAATGAGAAGTTGTCTATGAGCCACTGTACCCCTTATATAGGAAGACACTTTGATATAAGCCAAAAAGTATTACCTACCATCTTACAACACAATATCTCAACATTTACCCTCTAACCATTTATACATATACATTTTCGAACCCACCCACTATCCCTGTCTCAATAAATTGGGCAGCCGTGGTCTAATGCCGGTAGCCGTTTAAGATAACGACCAGCTTTACGAACGGGGTCGGAGAGTCGTAAATGCCCGGTCTGCTTGGTTACGGAATATATTTGGTATTTACAATTAGTAAGAGATTCGAATGGCGTGTTGCTCATGCTTAAGTCGGACTTTATGATTTGCGCAAACCTTCACGATGTCGACTTCTGTAGGCTATAGCATCTCAAACACACATCCTAATGGGGACTATCGGCGTAGAACACCGGCGTTAAGCAATGTGGCCTCTAGTTCACCAACGGGCGCGGGATACACCGCTAATACACATCGGACTCTCACATCGGATTTTCGCATCCGTCCTTGACGGCATCCAGGCCGTAGGGCTAGTACTCTGATAACGTACGATGCCTCACAGGCTGAGCTAGGTGTGGTACAGCACGTGGAAATTCCCCTTTAGGTAAGAAATATTATCTCAGGTGACCTTAGACCCGATATTTTCGAGGCGGGCTTCGCCCGCCTGCTTTGCCACAGGCGCCACGCAACGCGTGGTCTGTGTGTTTGTACCTGTAAGTTATGGGCAAAATATTTAAAAATATCTGGTTTAAGGTTATATAGCGTTATAAGGGTCTTTAATGCTTTTATTGGTAATAAAAAAATTAAATATTATATTTATAATGATTTAATATATTATAATAACGTACGAAATAGTTTTAATTTTAATAATTTAAAGTTTATAATATGTTTTTTTTAACTTTTTATTTTTTTTATATATTTGTATAATATTGCGTTTTTATATACCAGGTTTTAACGTTTAAAAATTTTTAACGTTTTAATTATATTAAGCTTTATATAAAGTATTTAAGTATAATAATTTAATATTTTACAACTATATATAAAATTTTTTTTTATAATAATTTAAAGTTATTATTTAAGCTTTTTAACCTTTTTTACATATTTATAATTTTATATATTAAGTTTTAATATTTATTACGGTTATTATTATAGTTATTATTACAGTTAACGTTATAACCGGTATTATAACCGGTATTATAATTAATATTAATTATTTTTAATATTTTAAAAAGTTTAAAACGTATAAATTTAATCGATAAATTTAATAATAAAATTAATAATTATTATATAATTAATTATTATTTATTATAAATACGCGTTAATATTATTATTTTAATAATATTATTAATGTTATTTTTTTAAAATATTAAACGTATATTTTTAATATATAAGGTTTTAAAACTGTTTTAAACCATAAATTTAATATTATTTTAAAAAGTTATTTTAAGTTTTAATTAATTGAAAAATAATATGGCTAAAGGAGGTACAACCTTATAAACAATATCGAATTTGTAGTCTGAGTTTACTAAGATAAAAGAAATAGTGGTTTTGACCAATGGGAAAAGCCACGTAGGCGGGGCGAATGCGGGACACCGAGGCTCCGAGGGGAAGGGTAGACAAAATAGGTACTTGAATATTTAGGTAATGCACAGTAAGTCTTATCACCCCAGCTATATCCATACGATCAATCCAATACAGTTCTACGCCCTAACACCTTACTTACCTAAAGTTAAATGTATGTAAAAAAAGGATCATCCCGTCCCCCGCCGTTCGTGCATACGGCAGTCATCAATAAATTATAAAACCCTGCCTCTCGTATGTTACTCGTGTATAGTCTCGTATGTTTGGCCCTTTTCTGCGTGGGTTTTATTCCCGATTTTACCTAAGAGACTTATGTATTATTATAGATCTAAGCCGCTTGTTCTGCCCTGCATATTTGGATGGTCTGGCTCCCAATCATATTTTGCCCATCAGTCATCAATTCCTAATTTGGTGGGTCGCCGAGTCTCCGAAGATACCCTGTTACAGACTAGGTTGCATATACATACCGTATACTACGGAGAATCTAAAACCTTCCGCAAGGACGTACATAAATCAAAACTTTTTTCCCCAAACTAAACAAACTTTCCAATTGACACAAGTGTTCCACACCAAATCAATTGGTTACAACTCTTTCTTTTTTTGGACCTGTTGTGATCGTCACTATGGACGCTGTGCTTCGCCAGTCCAAGGCCATGTGCCCCTTCTTGAAGAAGGCTTCTCCCGCCACTCTTCGTGCTTTGTCAACCTCTACTCGTCCGCAAGCTTCTCAATGCGGCGGTACTATCTCCAAGTTGCAGTTGCTTGGCCAGCGCTGCCCTGTTATGGGAAAGGCGCTTGCTATTCAATCTGCTCGAGTTGGTAGGACTCCGATGGCCGGTGCCGCCGCAACCGTGGGCGGAATTCGCAACTACTCCAGTCAGACAAAGCCGGGGAGGGCCAAGATTCACACCAGCCGCTCGCACGAAGCTAGACCTTTAGACTCCCCCGTGTTTAATGCGCGCGAATCAGGTATATATGCGCTATTATATTTAAATACAAAGCCGAATACTTACAATTTGGTTTTAGTCCAGTTCCCTCCGTCCGTCCATGCCAATCGCAAAGCCAATGCGACAACCCCGCTGAGCAAATCGTCGAGCTCGGATGGTAAATTCGATTACAATGGCTTTTACGACGCAGAGCTCGACAAGAAGCACAAGGACAAGTCATACCGCTATTTCAATAACATCAATCGCCTGGCTAAGGAGTTCCCCCAGGCTCACGGGGCTACCAAGGAAGATCGGGTGACGGTGTGGTGTTCCAATGATTACTTAGGCATGGGCCGTAATTCCCGAGTCCTACAGGAAATGCACGAGACTCTCGAAGAGTATGGTGCAGGCGCAGGAGGAACCAGAAATATCTCGGGCCATAACAAACACGCAGTCGAACTCGAGGGAACTCTTGCTAAGCTGCACGCCAAAGAGGCCGCCCTCGTATTTAGCTCCTGCTATGTTGCTAACGATGCGACGCTCGCAACCCTTGGAAGCAAGCTACCCGAATGTGTTTTCTTGTCCGACAGTCTAAATCATGCGTCGATGATCCAGGGGATTCGCCATTCGGGTACTAAAAAGATGGTCTTCAAACATAACGATTTGGAGGACCTTGAGGCTAAATTAGCTTCTCTACCACTCCATGTTCCTAAAATTATTGCTTTCGAGTCGGTCTACAGCATGTGTGGCTCAATTGGACCTATTGAAGGCATCTGCGATCTGGCTGATAAATACGGAGCCATCACATTCCTCGACGAAGTCCATGCTGTTGGCATGTATGGCCCGAAAGGTGCCGGTGTTGCCGAACACCTAGATTACGAGGCCCACAAACAAGGCAGACCCGAGGGAACGGTTATGGATCGCATAGACATCATAACCGGTACTCTTGGTAAGGCATACGGATGTGTTGGTGGATACATCGCCGGAAGTGCGAAATTCGTCGATATGATTCGATCTCTAGCGCCTGGTTTCATTTTCACGACATCTCTTCCGCCGGCTACCATGGCTGGTGCCAGGGCTGCCATTGAATACCAGATGGACCACAATAACGACAGGCGACTCCAACAACTACACACGCGTGCTGTTAAAGAGGCGTTGGATGCCAAGGATATCCCTGTCATACCGAATCCCTCACATATCATTCCGCTTTTAGTCGGAAATGCCGAGCTTGCGAAACAAGCATCGGATATGCTATTAAACGATTACCAGATTTACGTGCAGTCTATCAACTACCCGACTGTGCCAGTAGGCCAAGAGCGTTTGAGAATTACTCCGACTCCGGGCCATACGAAGAAGTATCGTGATGAACTAGTCGCTGCGGTCGATGAAATCTGGACTAAGCTTGGCATTAAGCGAACTTCCGAATGGGCGGCTGAAGGTGGCTTTATTGGTGTTGGTGAAGCTGGTGTTAACGCGCCCGAACCTCTCTGGACTGATGAGCAGCTCGGAATCGATCAGCAAATCGCCAAAGAAATCAAGGAGTCGAAGCCAGCTAATGGTTTCATGGAAACTCTGCTCGAACGCGAGAACCTGGCTACGGGTGTGAGCGCTACCGCCTAATTGCATTCTAGTCTCGGTTGAGACAGATATACATCCGCGAAAGGGGAGCTCATCGGACCTAATCCACGTTCTTTCGGGCGTAGCGGAAGAATTGATAGTGAGATACTACATTTTTGATCTGATTCGAACATAGCCCGTACTATAAAGACTATCGTCTTAGGTAAAGTACCGAGGCCAACCATATAGCTGAACCCAACAGTATTTACAAAACAATACAATCAGCGCCATCTCGCCAGTCGAATGGATAACGCTCATTGAACTTCATACTGCTTCTTTGATCTTTGTATACGTGATATATATTACTTGCTTTAATGTGGTGAATCTATCAAGAAGCCTTCGATCTTGGCTAGTATGAGGAGGTAAGTAAAATCGAGAGTAGAAAGGGGCTTGCTCCATTAGTCTGTCTACGAACTTAACATTAATACTATTAACCCTGTTAACCCCCTATATACTCCAAACTAACCCCTCCATTAGGACGAATTTAAGACGACCCCTAGTATCCTGCCGTTGCCACAGAAAATAGAAACGTAAGGCTCAACTTCAAATTAGGTAATATCTGGTAAGTTGGCAATGGGCAACCTTTACTCCACGTCGAACATACTGGCATATTTAGACTCGACTCGTTCCTAGGAGGCTAGAACCAGCTGCCTACGCGGAGAACGACCAGTGGCTAAATAGACACGTAACTCGGTGCAGAGGACCTCACCTCGTCTATTTACCCGCTCTTGGCTTAAGCGTCGTTAATGAGTAGTCTTACGTACCCCACAGTCAAGACGCGGAGGTCACATCTCACGGAGCTTAACACAACGACCACCTAGTTTTCGAGGATAATCGGCTGCTTCTCCACGTGCTGAGAGTGCCAGAGGGTAACCTATGGTACATGGATGCTACCGTTAGAATACAACAACGATCTAGAACGAAGTATAGCAATTACTATGGGGTTACCGGCAAATATGGAGTATACCGGTCACTGTCTTGTTTGGGAGTATCCCACGGAATAGTTCTAATGATAAAAACGGGGGTATCTCAGGGTGGATTTTGTAAACCGTATTCTCAGAGTAACTACGATAATTGCTTCAAAGTAGCGACTATGAGGTTAACAGATCTAATCGTCGCCTCCGGCACCCTGCCGTTTGCATCGGCAGTACCGGCGTGGCTCAACCGTCGTCAGTCGGGATCGACAATCACCGTCGACCTGTCGAAGACATACCAGACCATCGACGGGTTCGGCTGCTCCTTTGCCTTCCAGCGAGCAAACCTGATCACGAACATGTCGGACAAGACCAAGCAGAGGGCGCTCCTAGATTTGCTCTTCAACACGACCTCAGGAGCAGGTTTGTCCATCATCCGCAATGGCATCGGCTCTAGTCCGGACAGCAGCTCCGACCACATGAACACGTTCGCGCCGAAGGACCCAGGCGGGCCAAGTGCCACGCCGCAGTACCAGTGGGACGGCAAGGACTCGGGCCAGCTGTGGTTAAGTCAGGAGGCGTACAACACGTACGGAGTGCGCCAGATCTACGGAGATGCTTGGAGCGCCCCGGGATACATGAAGGTACCTATCCTTCTAATACTCGGAGATAAATAAATAAAACTAATTGCTGAAAACTCGCGGTAGTCGAACGGTAACGAAGCTAATGGCGGCACCCTATGCGGCGTCTCCGGAACTAACTGCCGGAGCGGCGACTGGAGACAGGCGTATGCCGACTATCTTGTCCAATATGTCAAGTACTATGCCGAAGCTGGCGTTCCCGTTACTCGGTGAGTTGACAACTATTTCCTAAAAAGAGCTTACACTCCCTGTACTGGTAACTAAACAAATTGTTCCTAGGATCGGCTTCCTCAACGAGCCCGAGTTCACGACAAGCTACGCGTCGATGAATTCCAACGGCGCCCAAGCGGCCGACTTCATCAAGGTCCTACACGCCTCACTCGAAGCAGCCAACTTGACCTCGCAGGTCGGCATTGGGTGTTGCGAATCGGAGGGCTGGGGCAACCAAGTGAATATGGTTAACGCCATCAAGTCTGCTGGCGCGGAGGACCTACTCGCTACGATTACTTCGCATACTTATACCGGCGGGCCGAACGGTCCGATGAATTCACGGTACGTAGTGATATTCTCCAAGCAAGATCTATTGAGCAGAAGCTAACATATTCATAGTACGATATAACCCCCTTTTCTTGGATGACGCATAACCAAACCCCTGCCCTATTTACTGATAATATGATATGTACTAACACACCACCAGGCGTCCCCGTCTGGCTATCCGAGCAATGCGACCTGCAAGGACAATGGACAACGTCGTGGTACGGCTACGGCGGCGCAGGCGAGGGCCTCACCTGGGCCAACAACATCTACAACGCGCTGGTCAGCTACAACGTCTCGGGGTACATATACTGGGAAGGCGTGCAGTGGCCCTCGCCCAGCACCAACGAGAAGATGATCCGCGTCGACCAGCAGCCGCCCTACAACTACGAGGTGTCCAAGCGTCTGTGGGCCTTCGCCAACTGGTCGCGCTTCGTGCGGCCTGGCGCGACCCGCATCGCGAGCAGTGGCGGCGGCTCGGGCGTTAAGAGCGCTGCTTTTAAGAATGTCGACGGGAGCGTTGCTGTGGTTGTTGTTAGCACTGGCGGGTCTGCGAGTAATGTGAGCGTTAAGCTTGATGGCGCGAATGCTACGGAGGCTACGGGCTGGGTTACGGATCAGACGCACAATTGCGAGCAGATCGATGTGACTGTTGCTAGTGGTTCTATTACTGGTAGTGTTGCTGCCCGCTCTATTACTACTTTCCATATCCCGGCACCGCCTGCTCCTCCGGCTGCTAGGAGCGAGGAGAGTCTGGGTGGTTGGCGGTTTGCGTGAGGGTTAAGTCTGGGGTTCTTCTCTGGAGTTTTTACAAAAGTTCATGTCAAGTTAGGTAGTTCTATAGTTGCTTACGAATGAAATATCTGTTGTGATATCTTACAAGTTTCTATGAGTTTCTTATAAGGTCTACTACTGCTTGGGACATGAGGAGCATTCGAACGTATACTTAGATGCTTTCACGAGCTTTTGAGAATATCAAACCCCTCTAAGGCGTCATGGAAAGGTAATAAGTCCAAGTATCTCATACCCGAGATCAAAACAAGGGCAATGTGCATATCTCGTATTTCCCTACAAGTTACTCATCAACCCCTTCAGCACCTCCTTCATCCCCGGCCCCGTCTCCTTCACCAACTTCGCCACCTCCCTAAATTCAGGGATCCCCGCATCCCCCATGCACTCGTAGAGCCAGCTTTCGCTAGTCGTCACCACCGCCCCCGCAGCTCGCAGCCGTGCAAACGCCACCCGCGCGTCCATCTGGTTGCAGCTGCTGACGCCATCCGCCAGCACGTATACCTTGTGCCCGCGCTCGAGCAAGTCAAGAGCGGTCTGCGTCACGCAGATATGCGTCTCGATGCCTACGATGGCGACTTCGCTAGGTAGGGGCCCATTGGCTCCCGCTGGGTCTGCGTGCGGGAAGCGAGATGCTACTTCCGGGGCGCGCAACACTGTAGCGGTAAGTGTTAAAGGCCTATATGGATCTAGAGGTTTGCGACATAGTCTCGGGGTGATGATGTCTTTACCACTGGCTGAGAAGCCTCCGGGCTTGGGAAAAGGGGAAGGGGGTCTTAGTAATACGTACTACTAAAGGCCGTCTTATCCGCGTCGACTACAGCGCCCGCCGTTAACTCCTGAAGCTCAGAGACGGTAGGCCCGAGCTTTGCGCCATTCTGCGTCGTCACGATGACGGGTATGTCGAGGATCTGGGCCGCGCGTAGGACTTTCTGCGTCGTCTGGAGGCTGGTAGTTTTCGTTAGTAATGCTTAAGCTGTAATTAGGGGGTCTTCGTTGACAAGCATCTTCGGGTATAACGTGGAGGCAAGGCCCAGATTTCAGATTAGAAATATAATATGCAGTACGTTAATAACAATGGGTTCTATACATCAAGTCAAACGACCAGATTGCGGAGCGGAACTTCTCCTGCATGTCGCAGATGCTGTGCGGCATCCTCGGTCAGCTTCTTGATATCTCATAGACAAAGGCGCCAAATAACTTTCGCCGCCGAACCGAACTTACAAGACCGCCGGTCGTTCTGTAAACTGTTAGTCCCATTATCCCTCTTTGAATTCCATTTAGCCACAAGAACCAATAGTTACAAACTCACGAAAACGTCTCTGCGGCTGATCCGCCATAGTGGAAAGCCTAGCGTATTTCTGACCAGCCTGGTGGGTATAAAGGTACGGAGGCGAGAATACGATCGGCTGTCGCCGTAGTCCTTTAGCAACCGTAAATCTAGATGCTCTCGCGAAATTCATCAAAGCCCGGTTTGCTTCCACCATACCGCGCCGGTAAACGAAGTGAGTGCGCTAATGGAATATAGTGTAGTGTATGATTTAGGTAGAATAAAGAATCCCGAGTTTGGAGCGAAGGAGTCTAGGGATTATAGTACATTTAATAAGTAGCAATGCCGAATGCGGGGCAGGTACGGGAACGGGAACGAGCGGGGATGGGGAATTGATTGTATAGCTTATCGATACCCGAATTATTTCTATGTGTAACCTTAGGTACATACTTATAATTATAGTTCCTTGTAGTTATACTATTCTATTGTATATTTTGTGGGTATTTTTGCGTATGTCGATTTACTACATTATGTCAAGTCAATAATCTTATAAACCCAAATTCTTAAACCTGTATACCTAATACAAGGTAAAAATCAGCCATCAAAAGATGAATTATTCTAAAAAGATAGATCGCTACATAGAAGCCACTACATAACTCGTCTATGCATCCAACTGTCTAATCCTATATCCCCTATATCCAGGTAAAATTAGATACTCAAGATACCACCGTAACCTTAGCCCTCTTCAACCACTCCATATCTCCCTTAACCGTAGCTTTCCTCACATTATACAACTCATCAATAAACGCCGGGACAAACGTGCCCGGACCCTTAACATCCGGCCTCTCCGCTGCCAGCTCCGCCGCAATGCCGTACTGCAATATCGCGGATATAGTCGCGGCGAGCTTGTCGTTGCGGTGCGCTGCGACTGCAGCTGAGATGGCTGTGCCTAAGCAGCACCCTGTGCCCGTAACCATTCCTAGGTACTCGTGGCCGTTCTCAATCGCGAACACTGACTCCCCGGCCGTCACTAGATCCGTCTTCCCGGTCATCACAACGACATGTCTTCGGAGCCGGGCCAGTTCCTGAATCACGGATCCTAGCTCCTGGAGGTTTTGGTTGCCGGGGCCGCTGTCCACGCCTCGTTGTTGAACGTTGGATCCTCCGGGAACGCAAGACAGGATCTCCGATTGGTTCCCTTTGAGGACGTCAACGTAGCCACCGCCAAGGATAGTCTTGACGGCCGATCGTCTTATAGCGGTTGCGCCGGCACTATACACATTTGTTAACTTACCATATGTAAAGACTCAAAAGCGCAGTATGTTGAGACTTACCCCACAGGATCATACACAACGGGCTGTCCAGCATCATTATATGCCTTAAGAGCCTTCAAATAATTCGTCAACCCATCCGGCGTAACCGTGCCCATATTAATAACCAGCGCACCCCCCAGCTTCGCCAAATCCTTAGCCTCTTCGCCGTAATTCGCCATGATAGGGCTGGCGCCCACACTCAGCGCAACATTGGCAGCGAAGTTCTGGACGACCAGATTGGTCATATTATGAGAGAGCGGTTTCTTGCTGTTGACGGCTTTAATAATATACGGCACGAGAGCAAGCAGCTCCTGGGGCGATCTCGTCTGCTGGCCTGGAGTCACGCCGTATTTTGCGAATGCAGGCGGTGATTTGACTAGCTGGAGGAGTTCACTCGAAGCTGCCTCCGGGTCTCGGGCTGCCATAATAGCGCTCACGACTGCAACGCCGTCAAGCGACTTCCCCTTTCCGGAGCTCTGCCATACTACACGTGATACGTTGGATGCATTGATGCCGCCAATGCATACCGTCTTTACGGACCAGTTCTCGGCTGCGATCCTAAGTAGAATTTCCTGGAGGCCTTCCACTCCGATAATACTCTTCGTATTTTCCTTTCTATAATGTTATTAGTTAAATAATTCTTAATGATCTCGAGGCTTCTTACGTAGATGTAGCGAACACAGTCCCAATCCCCAAATAATCAGCGCCTCCTTTAGCTGCGGACTCTACTTCAGCAATGTTGCTCACGGTAACGCCAATGATAGCGTCTTCTCCTAGGATCTTTCTAGCTGTCGGTAGATCTATATCGACATTTCGGTCAGTCAATTTACGAAAGTGTTACGTCATCGGAATATGAGTTTGGGGAAACCATCTCTAGGAAGACCATCTTACCAAGATCATCCTGCCCGATATGCACGCCCTCGCAACCGACCGCAAGCACAACATCTATGCGATCGTTGATGAGTAGCGGAATATTGTACTTCTTGGTGATCTGGTGTAGCTTTCGGCCCGTTGATACCAGTACACCTGTGTCACTAGTCTTGTCCCTGTATTGAACACATGTGACGCCACCCTTTAGAGCAGCTTCGACTACCTCGCATAGATCCGCATCGCCGAGGATGGCGGGCGTCGAGTCTGTCACCAAATATAACGAGTAATCGACCTCGTGCTTCGGCATTTTCTAACATGTAAGAAGCTGGTGAGAAGCTAGTGACGACGAGGCCTTTTGTGACAATTTACACACCAATTGTGTAATCATCCGTCTATAACGTTAGTATGACATAGGTATTAATATATGTAACTAGCGGGGTTGGTTTTCGACTTATTCCGCATTTCCACATGTCACTTCCACTCATCAATCTATAATAGGTACCACTATGGTGGACGGTTAGGACATTTGTGCCAAAATCAGGAAAATGGGTCGGGGCTTTCCAAAAAGGGTAATATAGCAGGTGCACAGTATACTATGCGGGGTATATACAAAGTAAAATATATAATTTTTTCATTATTGTATATTAGATAAGCATAATTCGGCCAATCAGATCAAAGATTCCATTGTCAATTCAATCTTCAATTGCCTTACGGATTACAACACAATTCAAATAACTTTACGAAAACAACAATCTAAACGTCACAATTAGTATCATTCTGTAGCTGTAATTGATGCGAAAATAATGGACCAAACTGCATGTTTATGCGATGTGTATTGAGTATTATATTGCTATTAAAGTATCTGGAGTCTGTTTGGAATGACTTTGAGGTGAGGTGCTTTTAAAGGTTATCACGTGCTTGCCTCTCCAGACAAGCGCTATTTGATTCTATTACAACACAACAGCTAAAAGGCCGATTTAAATGCAACTTGAATCATTGTTTTCGCATCAATTAAAGCTATAAAATAATACCAATTATAACGTCTGGATTGTTGTCTTTAAAAAGTTATTTGAATGTGTTGTGTGCTATGTATTGTATATAGTGTATATAAAGTAATTGAAGATTGAATTGATAATGGAATCCTTTAATTTAATTGGTTGATGTTAGAGATTAGTGGGAAGGGTACTTCGTAGCCCGGATAACAAGGCCTGTATAGCTACATATATATAATTATATAGCCTTTTAATATCTTTACCAATATTAGGTCAAATCACATGCAACCTAGATCATAAATTTCGTTATTTTCTAATTAAAATAGCAACACTTTGTAGAAAATATTTGCATAAATATTCGTAAAGCTATTGTGGTATAAGGTTAAAAGGGGATATGTATTACCTTAATTGTGTACACAGGGCAAATAGTCGAGTTTATACTGTACCCCTAGCGTTACTATTACCGTATTAGACATAGTGCCACCGGCTTTTTCGATTTTGGCACAAATGTCCTAACCGTCCACCATAACCACACCCTATCTGACTATCTGATAAGCAGGTCTAGGCCGAACTAATGCACCCAAGTACGTGAAGCTCATGAGCCACCAGTTGTTAGCCCCTCTAACTACCTAGGGTTAATCTACGTATACCATGACTGATGTCATTTATCTATTTGGCATTTCTTTTTATTATTTTCCTAATCATGTCTACCTACGACGAAGTAGAACTACTGGAATCATAGCAGAGAGCATTAACACACGAGCTCGGCAAACCATCATCAAGCATCACTCCGTCATCTCATAGAGCTCACTTCTGTCCAAGTGTGCTGCTCTTTACTCGGCTGCTGCAGTCGGCGTTCTTGGCTTGCCCGACGAACTCATCCACGAAAAAGCTGATGCGCTACCAATAGGGTTTGTCGAAGTACGCGGCGTTCCCGATGCGCTTCGAGCTTCACGCGTAGTTGTGTTCGCTTTCGGTTCCACGCTACTAGACACTGCTCGCTTTGATTCCCATCGGATACTGGTACTGCTATTGCTGAAACTATCTGCCCCGACATGGCTCTTACGTCTAGGTTCGACGCTACTTTTGGGCGTCGAAGCTGGTTCGTAAGACGTCCCCGTTCGTGCTGAGGACGACGATGTTGCTGATTTTGTCGACTTCAGAACTTTCATACTCCGAACCCCACGCCCAGCAGGTTGATATCCACTCAACGGGGAAGCATCCTTTTGTTCGTTGCCATTCAGAGCAGGTCCATGGCGCCACGAATTCCAGATGCTCCCTGCCGCTGAGGATCGCCGCTGATGGTCACTTGGTGTATCATTCGGCTGAACTTGGGGCTCCTTCGTACCCGACTCCGAGCTACTCATCTCTTTGTAGTGCCTCTCACTTTCACCGCCGCTTTCTGATATGCTACTTGCCCCGGCAGTTGCGGCCTGCTGGCTCGCTAGTTCCGAAGATGGCGATGCAAGCGCTCGGGCATCATCCTCGCCATGCACTTCTCTCGTCTGGGCTCTGTCAGACTCCGTGGCCGTGGTCGCTTGTGACTTGGCTTCGCCCAAGACAAATGGGCGCGCTGTGGCGTTCAACTTCGGTTTCTCGGGGAAGATAGCCATCGTACGAATATGCTTGAAGATTCCACTATCTTCGGGGCGGACGAAGGGTACAGACAGTTTCTCACGTTCGCTACTGTACAGTGTCATACGATTCTGCGAGAACAGAATATCGGCGCAATGCTCTCTCAGTGCCTCGCTACCAATGAAGGTGCGGATAGTCTTTTTGGCTTCGATATTGTCGGGCAGATCTACCCCTGCTACTTCGAACGTGCACGTCAAACTCGGTATCTGCGGAGCTGGACTCATTCCTCGAGAACTCGGTTGCGATACGGTTGCCTCTGTCAAGTACACGGGTAAACGGATTCGGTGAACACCATCTAAATCGCGATGAATATCACGTGTCAAGTCTAATTCTTTGATCAGAGAAAATTCGACAACCGACTTCTGCGACCCGGTGCACACGACTGCGTAAAGTAGGGTGTCGTGCGCAAAATTAGGAGCTAGCCAGCATCGGATAATTGAAGGCACGGAACCCAACACAAACAGGCTCGGCGGCGGCTCTGGAATCCCAATCGGAGAATCGTCATCTTGGCCGGCGGGTGTAAACGTAGTGTCTATACCTAAGCTACTTCCGCGTCCGGAGGCAATGGAATGGTGAGAGTGGACCGAATGGCCGGCAGAGCTATGCCTGCCATCCGACTTGTGAGACAGAGAGCGTTCCATCATGTTGTGGTTGCCAAGGCCGCTGCCGGGTCTGATTGGACCAAAGTCGCCTGAATGGCGACCATTTTGCGCCCAGCTCGAACCCTGGAGAGCACTCTCATCGAAGCGAACACTATTCGCTCTAGAAGCCGCGCCGCGCCTTGCCGGTTCATCTTCAGCATCCAAGTGCAAACTTCCCAGAAGGCTCTGGCCCTGCTCCTCAAAATCGTCAAAAATTTCGTTTGGAGGCATCTGGAGTGGTCCTAAAAACCTGTTAGAATCTATAGTAGCTATATATCCGTGATAAACACGAGAAGAACGAACCATGCTGTGGCGTACCGCTTAGAGCGCTGGGAAACGGCGAATTCCAAACGGATTTGATCGCGGCATCGTTAGCTTGGTGCTTCTCCAACCGAGAAATTCGTTCGGCGTGGTTATTCTGTATCATCTGCATCTGCTTGACGTCCATTTGGACACTGTAGAATTCGTCACGGGAAACCGAGAAACGGGGATCCATGCCAACCCAAGTTATTAACGTCACGACGTAAGTAAGCAAGACTGATAACAGGATAAACGGATTTGACTAAATTCAGTGGAAGAAGAGGCTCGGTCTGCCTAGGGGGGCTTTGATAGAGATCGGAAACGACGGGATCAAAAGGTCGACTTTTAAGGAGCTTGGATGGCCGACTCGTATCATCAAATTGTGATGATGTGCCAAATTGTAGCCCATCGACTTCATGTATAGTTCTATAAAAGGTGCTCTGCGGCGCAATCGACTCCCCGTTCGAACTGATGCGACCTCTATCCTTAGTATGTGAAAGACGGAGTCCACCACCACCTCCTCATCGCAGAGGACCGAATGGTCACTTTGCGGGTTACTGTGTAGGGCAATATTACTATGTTCTAGTCTTAGTATATGTTGATATTTAATGGTGGAGGTTGTTCAAGGTCGAAACACGAGGGCTTCCGGCGGAGATATGGAACGGACGGCGCGGTAAAGCGGTGTTAATTTGCAGTATCGATCAAGCGACCTTATCGTTAAGAGAAGCTGCTCGAGAATATTTTGCGGTCGAGAAGGGCGAGACAATTCTCGTAGCACCAAAGACGAGGTCGGCGTAGCAACGATATATTACAATCACAAACTTAGGTTACACGCCAATCGAACTCTTTGTAGATGATGGACGACGTCAGGTTCGTCTAATCGGCGGTGGCGACCGGGTTTCGCAGGTGATCTACGGGCGTAGGATTTTCAAGTAATCGAAGGCGAAGTCAGGTAGAGCGACTGAGGAAAAAGGAAACAGTTCAATCGGTGTCCTAATAAGTTTCAGGATGGCACACGGGATGGATATATTGGGCGGATAACAAGATGGAGTATCAAAGCAGGTTAGCTGGTACCTCGTAAGGTGTGGTGCAAAGCAAAAAGAAAATGAATTAAAATTATCGAAGAAGGCGGGAACTTCTGAGAACAGGGCGGTTGCTAAAATTGAGGTTTTGGAGTTTTGGAGTTTTGGATGATGACTGCTTGTAGGCTTGTAGGTTACGGATTCTCATAAAAATGGATGGCGGTTCAGAGTAGCAGTGGCCGTTCACGTTCGTAGGCACTTACCCACCATTGGATTTCCTTAGCGCGCATCAACTTTCTAGGTTAGTACGTACCACAAAACCACGAAACCATTTGGTAGGTTAGGTAGGTACTTTTGTACCTAAGTTACCTAAGGTTAGGTACCTAACTACAGGTATTTATTTCCTAATGCACTGGCCAAGCGGCTGCTGACTGGGCTGATGCTGACATGATGTGCCTACCAAACCAGGAACCCTACAGTAAAATCTCCGAATAACAACTTCAATTCCCTTAATGCAATAAGCATGTACATGTATGTCTTGCATGTTTTACGGTTTTCAGCCTTTTACAACTACATCATATGTAAATAATTATCACTTGCACAAGTTTCATGTAAGAAAGTTGCATTTAAGCAATTTAAGCTATTTTTTTTAAAAAACCCCGAGGCCTTTTACGGTATTATAGGTACTTACCCGGGTGGGGGGGGTTTTAAAATAAATTAATATTAATTTATTAACATTATAAAAATGGGTTAAAATAATTTATTTAAATAATAAAGATTTATATGTTTTGTATTAATATATATATCGGATTAATTATTATTGTTTTTTAAAACTTATATGTTATTTATTTTACAATATTAATTATAAAATAAATGTAACAAATATTATTTTACAAAAATATTTGTATTATTTTTTAAGTATTTAAAATATATTTTTTAATTTGGTTAATGTAAAATTTAAATTATAATAATTAAATTATAATAATATTGAACAAGGGCCGTGTATCAGATGACCTTATCTGACCTTATCTGATCAGATGACCTTATCTAGTCATGTGACCTTATCTGACCAAGATCCTAGTATAAGTACCCCCCATGGTCGCACACACCCATTTTACATAGCTTCAACCACATCGAATACAAGTCATTCCTTTCATCTATTATAGCATCACCTAGACCATGGCATTAGATTCAGTATAAGGGTCTAATCCAGGTCCAAGGCTGATAGCCTTGTTCAATGGCGACCACCCAGCGACTCGAAACCACAACCTCAATCTTAGGATGGACCGTCATCATCGTCGAAAAATGCCTCATCGTGGCCTGATCAGGTAGCCACGTTGTCAGGTAGCCTCAGCAGTCAACATCATGGCTCTTGATACCAGTCAATACGATTTGATACAGCCTCATCAATAGCCTCATCGATAGCCTCATCGACAGCCTTGTCAGGCACGTTGCTTATTGATCAGGTCGATCCCTCTATCTCACATTCCTATCAGTCGAAGTTAAGATATACGAATACGATACGATTTAAGAAGCATCTTATGAAGACATGCAGTTTATCAGGACAGTTATAAGGACAGTTATCAGGACATTACAGTACGTGAGGGCCATGGCGCATCTCAGCTAGTCAGATACTAGGAGATAAAAGGGACCTTATTGAATGCGTATAAAGGATTACGGGGATAAGGTCGGCGAGATACTGGCAGTTACCACATCAGGATTATCAGGACATTCAGGACAGTTTTTTATATGATGCTTTTTGGGTTATATTATACCAGTATACGAGACGACGACAACGATCAGTTACAGGAAGTCAACTATAAGGGAGGCAATAGCCAGGTCAACAAGTCAGTCTATTACAAGGGAGGCAAGACCTTCAGCCAATACGGAGGCCTATTCAAGTCCAGATCAAGATACCAAGTGAGGCAAATAGCCCAGTTACGAAGGCTATTACGATACGAGAGAGAGAGGGAGAGGGAGAGAGAGAGATCGTGCCAGAGGCATCTCTTTCAGGTCAATTCGAATCGAGTCAAGTCAAGTCAAGTCTATCGCTAGGGAGGCAAGGCCAGCCACATCACGATCTTTCCCTACACGCTCATTACGTATTCAATTCGTCGCCAGCAAGCATCACGATCGGTCCCGTTACTATACGAAATTGTATGGCCAAGAGACGAGATTCAATGACCTAAGATACCCCAGGGATGACTGATCTAATCCTGGCAAGTCATTTGAATTACACGATTATACGATCGGATACACGGCATACGATTCGAGGCTGAGGATTAAGATAGATTGCTGTACTGCGAAAGGCCTGATCTATTGCGAAAGACCTGATCTACTGCCTAGCAGTGCAATTTTTCTTTTTTTCGAGGTCTAGGATTCGATCCCCAGTTGTGTTGTTTTTGTTGTCTTTTTTTTAGCCCTTGTTTTGTGGGTTGAATTTAATCTCGTGGCCTCAATTAAATTCAAAGGGAGGGTTGAACAAGGGCCGTGTATCAGATGACCTTATCTGACCTTATCTGATCAGATGACCTTATCTAGTCATGTGACCTTATCTGACCAAGATCCTAGTATAAGTACCCCCCATGGTCGCACACACCCATTTTACATAGCTTCAACCACATCGAATACAAGTCATTCCTTTCATCTATTATAGCATCACCTAGACCATGGCATTAGATTCAGTATAAGGGTCTAATCCAGGTCCAAGGCTGATAGCCTTGTTCAATATTATTTATATATAAATAATTTTATAATTATTATAAATTATATTTATTTTAATATTATTATAATATTATAAATATTAAAGTTTAATAAAATTAATAATTTTTAAAAGTTATTTTTAACATAAAATAAAACTTTTAAAAAATAATATATTTATATAAATATTAAAATTATATTTTATTATTTTTTTATTATTTTTATTATTAATATAATATATTAAGTTAAGTTAAAATATTATTATTATTTTAAAATACTTTTTTATTATATTTATTATAAAAATAATAAAAAGATTATTATTAAAAAGTTATTTTGGTTATTTAAAAAAATTATAATATATGGAAAATTATTATAATTTAAAATTATTATTATTATAATAATTGTAATAAAATTTTATTACAATAATTTTAAAATTTTACGTTTAATTTAATAAAATTTATTACATTAATATTATTTTACAATTAATATTATAATATGGTTTTATAATAATGGTATAGTTTTATAATAATGGTGTAATTTTATAATAATGGTATAATTAAAATAATTAATAATAATTTTATTATTATACCGTAATTTATATTATAAAATTATAAAAAAACCAAATATAAAATGGTAATAAATATATAACAATAAACATTATATTATATTTAATACAACCATTTTTATATATATTTATTAAAAACCATATATTATTTAATTTAAATTTTTTATTTTAAATATTTTTTATATTTTAATATTTTTTAATTATTTTTTAAAATTATAATAAAAATATATATTAATTAATAGTTTTTAAATATATGGTAAAAAGATATTTACAATAATTATTAATTAATTAAAAACTTATATTAAATAAATGTAAAATAATAATAATAATAAAAAATACTTTTTTATATAAATTATTAAATATTTATTTTTAAATACGTAATAAGTTATATAAATACGTAAACATTAATAATCTTTATAAAATTAACAACCATAAAATTTTAAAATGGTAACAAAAAACTTATATATTTTATAAATTTTTTAATATTAAATATAAAACACTTAAAATTTTACAAACATTAATTAATAAATTTATAAATATAAAATAAAAAAAAATATAAATAATTTATTAATATATACCTTATAAACTGTATAATTTTAAATTAAATTTTAATAAATTACTTATGTAAATTGTATGTTAATAAATAAAGTTAAAAAATATAAGTGTAAAATTTACAAGTAAAAATATTTTACCAGTAAAATAAACGTAAATATACGTTATATAAAAATAATATAATTATTTTAAATAATAAATTAAATAACGGGAAAATTTAAGATAATAAAATAATAATATTTAAATAATGTTTATAGTTTATTAAAATGTTATAAAATTAAAGTAAATTAAAAAATAACATTTAATTGG